TCAATGTCGAATAATAAACGCTTTTTGACATGTAGTACGTATTTCCAAAATTTTATCCGGTCATGTGAGTTTGATGTTACTACTTATTTGATATTGTCATTATCTGGATACCACACAATATGAAAATAAGCCGTTAATAAAGGAATTACTTAGAATAGCTAAAGAATCGATGTTATAGGCTATTAATGTTCGTGGTCGCCGTTAAATTGGGTCATACACCCACTGGACTGGAATTTTTGTTCCATACATACAGCCTTTCGCTATGGAAGCGGCATTTGGAATTATCATGTTATTTGATGCGTACACCGTATTATTACGAGACAAAAAAGACAATGCCGTTGCCATTTTTGTATACGACTTAATTGCCTCTAAATATAGAAAGTATGGCTTTTAGAAAACACAACCTTTTTGCGGCAGAAAATAGATACATAGACTAAAAATACATTGTAGTAAAACTAATTGAGCAATTACAATTCCGCGATATTATACATCATGGTTTTATTCTTGAGTTCTTCTTGGTTAATCAATGTGAGGATTAAGCTACAGAGCATATTCTTTGTTATTCAAACAGGTATAATTGTTTTGCATTACATATTTACCGCTACTGATATCTGGCCTCATAATTGAATCTCGCCTAAATTATGTTAAATTAGCTTGTTTAAGTTAAAAGAAAAATATGAAGACACCATTTTCCATTTCACTGATTATAATAGAAAATTTTGTTTACTTTCAAAATAATATTTTATCCTGTCAACTATGAACATCGAGGAAGTCATTTATAATAGTAATCTTGTTTACGCGGATACAAAATAAATGATTTCGTTAAGACAAAGGGCCTGTTAATGCGAAGACGTTCTTCGTATTAAAAGGAGCAGACAAACACACGCGTGAAATATTGTTATAGCGTTCCTGAGACACGGTCATACCGTAAGCGGGCTAAAGATGAAGATACTGCTAGAAGCATATCTGGAAGAATATCTTCGGAAGATAAACACGTGCTACATTTTCTTCTGTGTGTCAAACGAAAGTTTTTAATCAAGCCTGAATCATCACTTGGCTTTGATAAGGACTCCCAGTTTTTGGCGGCGAATTTAGATATGCCTAATTTGATACTTAAATCCATTCCATCGAAATATTGAAACACCAGTTTTGTTTTATATGAGGATAATAATATTCTGGTAGATGTTACGATCCATGCACCATAGACCAACCATAAGACCAAGTACATTCATGTTTTTTTTTCATAAAATGAATATATTAATATGCAGAGAAATGTTTTGTGGATTGAAGAAAGAAAGACATCATCTCACCATCATCATCTCATGAGAGACTGATCTTGCAGACGAAATTGAATAGAAAATCCTAAATTTTGAAGCAAATCATAATTTCTTCTTCAATTATTTAATTATTAAATTCTTCTTCAACCCATCGCCACCCAATGCTGAGTATAGATCTCCTCAAATGCACTCCATTATTTTCAGTCTATTGCCCTTCGCATCCATTCCCTACCAGCTATTTTGACTATATATGCATATATGTTGGAGTATTTCCACTTTCGGGTAGCGACATGGTAAGCGGGCGGTCTTCGTAAGTCAATAAAACCAGAAATGAACTCAGAGCGCATATTTCGCAGGACCGCTCCGTCCGACACGGCGACTCGCTCGCTTCTGAGCTCGAGAGACAACAACGGAGCGTTTTTATAGCAAGGTATCGTGGTGGGACGATGTTATTTACGATTCTTATCTTGCACGTGTTGTTTTCGATGAATGCTTGCACCTGTTGTTTGTCGTCCCATCTTTATTAGTCATGAACTAATGGTTTCTAAAAACACGCGCCGACACGGCCATCCTGCTCATGACGCGTCCCTGCGTCATAATCATATACTTCACATGAATCATCTCACTTAACTATTACACTAAATTACTATCGAGTTCGACTTTTAGTGTCCTGGTCTCGACTCCTTTATGTCATTTGAGATACCAAGCCTCGACGCTGGCACTCAAATTTCAGGTTTTGAAACCCTAGAATACCAGAACAACCAAGCCTCGACGCCGGTGTTCAAACTTAAGCCTACACGCCATTACTAATATTGCAACAATCAAGCCTACACGCTGGTGTTCAAAGTCTGGCCTACACGGCATCAACAACCAAGCCCAAGCGCTGGTGTTCAGACTTCAGGCCTGGAAGCCTTAATAATCTAGAGCTACCAAGCCTCGACGCTGGCAGATAGATTCCAGGCTCCAAGGCCCTAAGATGTCAGAAGAGCTACCAAGCCTCGACGCTGGCACTCAGGTCTCGAAACCCTAGAATACCAGAACAACCAAGCCTCGACGCTGGTGTTCAGATTTCAGGCCTGGAAGCCTTAATAATCTAAAGCTACCAAGCCTCGACGCTGGCAGTTAGATTCCAGGCTCCAAGGCCCTAAGATGTCAGAAGAGCTACCAAGCCTCGACGCTGGCACTAAAATTTCAGGTCTAAACGAGCATTGCATATTACCTAAATTGAGATAAATTGGGATATACTTAACTTGGGTATCGACACCATACATTGCAACAACCAAGCCTCCACGCTGGTGTTCAAAGCTAGGCCTACACACCATTACTTATATTGCCACAACCAAGCCTACACGCTGGTGTTCAAACTCTGGCCTACACGCCATCAACAACCAAGCCTCCACGCTGGTGTTCAAATTTAGGCACACAAAGAGAAGCCTCATTCCAAAAATTGTATCTCATTGATCTCTTCTAATGGAAATTCATACGTCGACACGGCAATCTCATTCTGTTTTCCATAGTTTGGATTACGTCATTAGGCCGTTTTTCGTCACGTGATTACGTCAGTAGGCCGTTTTTAGTCACGTGGTGATCCCACTTCTGATGTTGGAGTATTTCCACTTTCGGGCAGCGACATGGTAAGCGGGCGGTCTTCGTAAGTCAATAAAACCAGAAATGAACTCAGAGCGTATATTACGCAGGAGCGCTCCGTCCGACACGGCGACTCGCTCGCTTCTGAGCTCGAGAGACAACAACGGAGCGTTTTTATAGCAAGGTATCGTGGTGGGACGATGTTGTTTACGATTCTTATCTTGCACGTGTTGTTTTCGANCAGAAATGAACTCAGAGCGTATATTACGCAGGAGCGCTCCGTCCGACACGGCGACTCGCTCGCTTCTGAGCTCGAGAGACAACAACGGAGCGTTTTTATAGCAAGGTATCGTGGTGGGACGATGTTGTTTACGATTCTTATCTTGCACGTGTTGTTTTCGATGAATGCTTGCACCTGTTGTTTGTCGTCCCATCTTTATTAGTCATGAACTAATGGTTTATAAAAACACGCGCCGACATATATACGGTTAACATAACTTATTGTCTCCCAATTAAGACATGACTTTGAAACATAATTTATCTAATTTTTTTTTCTTTTTTTCTTCTCAAACATAAATTATACAGCATCATTAAGATTCATTATTGCAGTTGTTAATCGCTTAAATTTATTAAACGCTTGCATCAAGACCCTGTTTCAAATAATACGAACAAAATTGCGCCAAGAGCTCAAACGTAGCGGAATTGAGACAGATTTCAAGAAGTGAAATCATTTAAGGCACAACTCGACTGCGGAAATCCGTCATACAGTTGGGTACAGATGTCTCGCAAAAGTATAATTAGATTTCGAGGGTCCCTCGCCTTTTTCTGAAACGTTCGAAATTCAATGAGAATTTGTGCTCGAATGTACATGTTTGTTGGGTTTTTTGATCCTTCCCCAGTTTTCCCATTTAGGTACAGTGAGAACGTTTGTTTGCGAATCCTTTTGAATAGTGAATATTTTTCGTTTCCAACGTCCAATATTGATGTCAGAAGATTTACATTAACAGTTAGCTATAGAAGATGTGGGTGGGCAACTTTGTTCATCCAGCTGTATTATTTATTTATAATGTAGTGACTAGTGGAAAATAGTAACTGGAACGAATAAAAATCACTACAATAATGCCGTCACCCACTTTGAGATCTGTGTATGATCAAGAGTTAAAAAAAGTCAAAATCTCAATAAAATAGTTTAATGTCTATTCTAAAATTCAAACCAGAATAAACTATACAATATAGATCGCCATCTGTCAGTTAGGTACCTTCTCCTTGACTTTGGATAGGAAAGGCAGCACACACTGATGGGTCTACGGTCTTTAAAAGTTTCAGGTGGTTGACCTTCGGAATCGGGCTTCGCTACTGAGCAGGAAACGTATTTGTATCAATAGACTTATTGATAATATTAGTAATCCCCCTTAGTGTTGAAGATTGAGCTACGGAGGGACCTGATTATCTTTTATGTAAATCAATTTCATACTACCGTATCTCATGATACATCCCCGGTCGAAGTGTTCTCACCTTAATTCTAAACTAACTACAGCTCTATCTGTGACAAGTTCATCTAACATAACGCTTGGTGAATCTGCACGCTTAGCATCATTGTTCACTTCTATATTAAAATTATGATGTGTTCTGGCTTTTAGGACTAGCTTCGACATACTTACTATACTACCATAAATAATAACCTACAACTATACTTACAACAAAACATCGAAAGAGTATGATTAAAAGTGATCTTAGAGAGATTAAAACGTTCGCCTATGCCTATTGTAATGTTCAAATTCGACGGTAAACTTAACTATAAAATATGTATTCTCTTTATGATCTGCGATAGGCACAAAATACTCAAAAAAAGGATAGGATCGAAATAAAAACACCCTAAACGTTCCATATTTTTAAAGATAAGTTATCAAAGATCTGCATACTACCCTAAAAATGCTTATAAGACGTAAAAAGCTTCCAAAGAATACATCTCATTCGGCATCAATCATCCCAAACGGTATAAGTGCGAAAAATAATAAAAGCACTAAAACAAAGGGCCCGAGATTCGTTTCTCCTAATTTCCTCCTCGCATTAGGGCAGGAGGCTTGTCAGAAGGAAAATATCAAGTGTTATTTTCTCCGCGGCATATTCTTCGAAATGGCTTAGTAAGGAATGTTCAATTTTTCTCGTAACCCGGTCGGTTATGTCAGTTAATTTTTTGTTCTATGCTCACGCTGACAAACTGCGATCATATTTGAAATACTGCATGCTTACCTGTAAAGTAAGAAAAGTAGCCATCGTAACTGAACTAAACTCAATTTACCCCGTTCGGAGGTCAGCGCCAGAGAATTCTCTACTTCAGACGCGAATTTTGATCGTCTCTCTTACACGATACTCCCAGAGAGACTCTAATGGCCGATATATGACAGATTCGCCATGTTATCATCCTTATAGCAATCTATGCCACATTTCCGAACCTGCGGACCGAATGGTAAACAGTCGACGTCGCCCAAAACAAGTCATTTCGGATCCATCCGGTCCACTAATGATGCGTTTAGATACCTCAAGCACCGGTCATCGCTCTACTCGAGCCCGTCGCTTGCGACGGAGGACTCGGCGAGTAAACTAACCCACAGACACAGGCCACCGAGTTTCTCGCCAGATCATCTCAGTGGGTCGCGTTTCCGATCCGGTGGTAGATTCTGCGAAGCACTGCTCTTGCTTGGGTCAGTGTTAGCAACTTCGCCAGGTTTGAGTCCCGTGAGCTCACCTACTTGTTCGGTAACGTTGATATAGCCTCTCAAGGCTATCAGCATAGGTAGTGAAAAAAAATCCATGCCATCAATAGATATCATGTCATTGATGTACATCCGGATAAAAACCGTACAAGTTTCTATCAATACCATTCAGATTATCAGTCTATCCAAAAACGCCGGCCGCTTGGAGGAAAATCTCTTCCAACTTATCACAACAGTTTAATAATTTAAACAGGCTTACAAATCTCATAGTGAAATTGGATATAAACCATCGTAAGCCTCGTGAAGAAACCTTCAGACAATTCCGCGCAGCAAACTCCACTCTGGGAAGTGAGCTTGTTAATTTCCTTCTTGACATTTGGTCGGCTTTCAAGATCTTTTACATTTTAGCCTAAAATAAAAAGGAAAGGTAAAATAACAGGAAAAATGTGTTCCTTCGTAGTGCTAATTTTAAGCTGATGTTTTCCTTCGTGTGTTGCAGGAAAAGTCTGATCATAGTCTTAATTCAGTTTTTGGTAAAAAAAATATTGTGCATTTTTGTTAAATAATCTCGGAGTTCAGTTAATGTTATGCGCATGTACAGTGAAATAAAAAATAATAGTAAAAAAAACAAATTGAAACCGTAAAAATAGTTTTAATCCCTTTTTGTTTTTTATTGCTTAGATGGTGGACGAGCTCACAGCCCACCCGGTGTTAAGTGGTTGCTTGAGCCTAATGTCTCTCATCGATGGCGCGAGAAAGAGCGGGCACGGGGCTCGAGGCTGGTGCAGCGGCAGATCGCGCTGCGCCGAGAGGAGCTCCGTCTGGCCTTGGTGGCGGAATGGAGGCAAAGGCTTCTGCGCCCTACCGCCGGCCTCGCAACCGTCGAGGCGATCCGGCCAGTACTCGACGACTGGCTCGGGAGAAGGCACGGATCCCTGTCGTTTAGGGTGACACAGGTGCTATCGGGGCACGGTTGCTTCGGCAAGTACCTGTGCCGCATAGACAGGGAGCCGGACGCTCGGTGCCACCACTGCGTCCACTGCGGGGAGGACACGGCGCAACACACGCTCGCCGAGTGTGTAGCCTGGGAGGAGCAGCGCCGTGTCCTCATAAATGAAGTAGGAAGCGATCTGTCGCTGCCGGCCGTAGTGCGGAGGATGGTCGGCAGCGCAGAGTCGTGGGACGCGGTGGTGTCCTTCTGCGAGGACGTGATGTCGCAGAAGGAAACTGCAGAACGGGAGAGGGAGATCTCGACTCCCTTCCCCGGCCGCAGAAGGCGCACCGGGCGTAGGACAAGGGCGGACAACGCCCTTTTCCGCCCCCCATGAATGGGTCCAGGGGCGAGGGACTTGGGAAAGCCCTCGCCCCCTATTCGATGGACCTGAGACGGAGGCGCNGCTTACAAATCTCATAGTGAAATTGGATATAAACCAACGTAAGCCTCGTGAAGAGACCTTCAGACAATTCCGCGCAGCAAACTCCACTCTGGGAAGTGATCTTGTTAATTTCCTTCTTGACATTTGGTCCGCTTTCAAGATCTTTTACATTTTAGCCTAAAATAAAAAGGAAAGGTAAAATAACAGGAAAAATGTGTTCCTTCGTAGTGCTAATTTTAAGCTGATGTTTTCCTTCGTGTGTTGCAAGAAAAGTTTAATCATAGTCTTAATTCAGTTTTAGGTAAAAGAAAAATTTAACATTTTTGTCAAATAATCTCGCAGCTCAGTTAATGTTATGCGCATGTGGTGCTTTTACCGTGGAAGTCAATCGAGACCATTTAATTTTGTCAAGTATGTACGTATTTCATTAGAAAAAATGGTACTAGCCAGCGGGACTCGAACACCGGTGCGTCGCTAGATACGAATGCACCGGACGTCTTATCCTTTAGGCCACAACTATTTCAGTTGCAAAAATGTCGCATATACCAAATAAGCCTTTCACCCCACGATATGACATTGTATATTGGCCATTTCACATCGAAGACAGAAAAAAATCTTACAATTAAAACAAGTTTCTATAATAATTTTCCATCAATCTTTGAAAACTAGAATTTTTTCATCAAAATGTAAAAGATTTACGCGGAAAACATTTCCAATCGTAAACCCTTATCTTGCACCAGTTACCCATAACCAGTCCATCAGCGAAGGCTCACACAGAACTCTCTGATTCATGGACACTTTACAACACTTTTCGTCTTTCAAGGACTATTTGAAGCGCACAAAAGCAGATATTATTTTCTGCGGTACAAAGTTTATATTCCCGCGCCTTTTTTGTGGAAATTATGCCTGTCTGTGGCGCCATACAATAACGTTTATGGCGAACACCAAATGTAAATATGAGAATAACTGTTTCGGTATCTTTTATATAAGTCTATATTTTGTTTGTTTATTTTTCTCTGTTAGATTTTGAATCATCACTTTATTGGTATAAGGGAATTTGTATAAAGAATTACTCTTTCGTGTTTATCTAAGTTAGATATAAGTATATACGTTATTTTTGTTAGTTTTGAGTTGCGAATTCGTAAGAGTAGGGTTTCTTACGATTGGAATACCTTAGATGTTTCTGGTCCTTCCATTTATTAATTTGCATTGTGAACTAAATTTCCGATGTAACGGGCATTTATACCATCAATAACTAGCATCAGTTTGCAAACCGTGCACACAATATAATTTATATGCCGCAGTTGGTAAAGTATTTCAGCCATAAAGCATTATTCTATGATTCACGATTTTGCTTTCGCAAATAGCCGCGGCAATGTGGGTACAAATATCTACTGCTTCTATGTTCAAGTTGTTCAAGTTGTTCTACTTGCTCAAGTTGAATCTTTCTTCACACGTCTACCAAAATATTTTTAACTCAATTTCTTCTTCTTCTCAGTCGTGTCACTCTTGACAGAGTGGTCGTGATCGTCATGTAGTGTTGAAAGGGGCAGACTTGATGCATCTCACGATGTCGCGCCATCTCTCCCTGCTCGAGGCCATTCTACTGCACTCATTTAGGGGACCTCCCACTGCATTTTTAATTTGGTCGGTCCACCGCAGTGGTGGCCTCCCGCGCGGTCTTGTACCATCAACGCTTCCCTGTACAACGAGGCGTTCTATGGACCGGCCATCTCGTCGCGAAACGTGTCCGAAGAAATTCACCATTCGAGACTGTACCATACCTAATCCTATATAAGATTCGATAAAAAAAATTACCTTAAAAAAGAAGATTGTGTCATTCAATAACGTCAGATAAAAGATGGCAAGCAATCGTTTTATTTAATCTACGACATTATCCTGTAAGGATTACACGTGTATTACGTTTTTCAATCTCTTTTTCATCCATCAAAGCAATTTTTCACGAATCCGTTTTGGTGTATGTGAAACCTCGGCGGGGTTACGCCGGCTTTTGAAAACATATAGCATACATAACATGATGTATTATTATTTATAATGATTTCAAAAGAGTCTGTATTTATAATAGCAGCAAATCTCGAAATAGATTTAAGTAAAGTCTTATCCAATTAAGCAAAACATTAAAAAAAAATCACCGAATAAACAAAAACCCATTGAAACACCGATACGTATTCAAATGAAGTTGTCCCCTATGCATATACCGCACATAGCAAAGAACGCTTTAACGCTGTGTCGATGACACGGTTCGTCTGACTTCTTTTTGTTTACTGTTTTAGATCGGACCGGGAAAACAAAGGTTAAGGGATTCGTATTGTTAATGTTTCCGCATGAAAAATTTCAGGGTTAGCGGTGTGAAGTTAAACTTTTGCAGTTTCGTTGCGAGTAGAAGAAACAGTGAAATAATCGAGCAATGATTGTGAAAGGATTTTTGAAACCTTATGGGACTATGCGGAGGGGTATCCTAACCAGGAAAAAACGTCCGTAACGTAAGATTTTTATTAGTAATGCACAGAGTGTACAACTTAACTTTGTAATAATGTACAAATTAGTAATGTACACAGTGTATGACTTAACTTTGTATAACGTACAAAAAATAGCATATTTTTTTATCATTCATTGACCACGATCTCAGAGCGTTCGTTTGCGCAATACACTAACTCTTATGCAAACAACCGTGAATGAAGTGTACCACAATAAGTTCGCACGTTACCGAATGACCGTGGGTTGTTGCGAAACCTCCAGTTTTATTTTCTTTATACCTCGAACAGAACTTAAAATTGATATTTTTATAATAACGTACTTCGTTCCTATCCGGTGTCCCACGACACTACACATCTTTTTTTTATTGCCTTTGTATTGTAACGAGCATACGGCCCACTTGATGGTAAGAGGTTACCGTCGCTTATGAACGTCAGCAATGCCAGGGGCAGAACCGCTCTCTACCTGATGTTACAGTACACAGTTATAATTTAATAATTTAAGGCTCATGATTATTTACTTGGGTATAAGTTTGTTATATTGATTCACATGGGTAGAACGCGCTCAGGGGCTACCTGGTATTAATTGGTAAGCAGAGCCCATTTTATTTTGGCCTTTAGGGACTGGACAATCAATTCCGACCCGACACTGAGACCCTTGTTACCTTTGGTGTCAAATTAGAAGCCATAGTCTTTTATTGTAAATCTGATGTCCCACTTTTCAAAACAAAACGCATCGCACGAAGAATGGTTGGTTAACACGTTCACTGCGGAACAGGCCCAAATCAGCCTGCCGCGGAATTTCACCTGGTGCGGACGAAGAAAACTATGTCCCTCTCGCTGGTGCGGAACGATTATCTCAGGTGTTTGTAAAGGTACGACAAAGACAAATATATATTTGAGATTGTGGTCAAAAGTATAGGTGTTCCCTATAAAACATCACGGCAGGCCTTTATCGGCCTATCACGCACTGACGGTAAAAAATATCAACTCGGTGCGGGAGGAGGCCTATTGTGGCCCGCCGTCCCAACAGGCTGTTGGCGGCCCGATACCGCACAGAGCGCCCGCCTCGCCAGTTAGTGTTGGGCAAGCTATCGGAGCTAACGTACGTCACGTTTTTTTTATTCCTTAAAATTAAAGGCACGATGTCAGGCAACAAAAGAAAGATAAATAGATAAAAAGATAAAAAAGGTGTTGACTTCAGCGACCAAATGTCTGCATATTATTCTACATTAAAAAGAGGGCTCAAATGGTTCAGAAAAGTGGGTATGGAATATTTATTTGGCATGGCGTTGGTAAACGCTTGGATTATATACAACATGAAAAATGAGAAGAAGGTTTCAAAGAAAGAATTTACAGAAGCATTAATACAATCAATTACTGGAAAAAATATATGCCCTGATAGTAAGTATAATGACGTGCAACATAACTGTAACCATCTTTAGACCTATGTTGAAGGTGATTCCTTCTGTTTCGTGTTGACGACGTTCTACCTCTGCAACAGGTGACTATTGTCATTATTTTTTACACATTACGAGTGCTTAGGTGGCTGTGCATGGTCTTCGAGCATGAGCTTTGGTTTGACTCCGTTTATTTTTCTGCGAGCAATGTATGGCGTTTATTGCACTACTCCTTGTATTAAGGTATGCTATGACACTCTGTTTACTTACTCAATAACACATGAGTTGTTGTTTCGGGTCAGAAGGCTGCATTTAACATGAAAATAACACTTCAAGTCTACTATATAAGGCCCTGTATTATATGTACATATTTTGTTTTCACAAGCTTAACAAATATAGTGGTCTGAAAATTGCAGAAAACAAAGTTGTATCACCTTATCTTGTAGCATGTTGTGTTTAATTTTACCCATCAAAGTGTGCACTTTGACAACGCATGGTGATGAGATTTGACTATTTCAAGACCTATGTTAACTTTTTCATTTTATTTGAGAATCTATTTAATACACAGAGAGCCCTGTAGTCAAATTCATAAGGTANCACTTTGACAACGCATGGTGATGAGATTTGACTATTTCAAGACCTATGTTAACTTTTTCATTTTATTTGAGAATCTATTTAATACACAGAGAGCCCTGTAGTCAAATTCATAAGGTAAATGAATCACAGAATTTAAAAAATCATTTCAGGAAATCAAGTAACACCTACGGCCGATCATATCCTTGAGATGAGCGGTAAACGGCGAAATTTTGTAGGGTGCTATGAAAAACTGCGGGAAACCATGAAGAGTTCCGAGGTGAAAAGGAAAGTAAAAAAATTTAAAACATACTGCAGAATGTGCAAGCAAAATCTTTGTGCGAAATGTTTTAAAGACAGCCATTAATAAATAATTAAATAAACAATTTTTATTTCTTTACTTTAATTCTGTTTTATTTTCGATATCCCCTTATTTTTGTCTTTCCCATTACTACTAAAAATACTTTCTAGTGCGGTTCTGGTCGATATCGACCCGCCACTTTCCCTGGTTTATTTCTCATTTTCTGTTCGGCAGATCCCGGGGCGAATCAAATCTAAAGAAGTTGGGTTCAAGGTTTTTCCAACAGTCCAAAAACTGTTCACCTACATTATGTTTTCGCAAAGTTATAGCAATTTAATCGAACCTTGTGCTGATGTGTCGAAAAAGACCTACCACGCACTGGCGGAAAAATCATTGGGGGCACAATTTGGCCCGCCGCCGCACCAGACAAAGGTTTAAGATTTTACTTGCCGCAGCGAACGTGTTAAGGACCTGTTAACAAACTGACATTGGGATCATTATAAATCTCCTGACTTTCCTATTTTGCGTAGCATAGTTACGATTTGATATTAATGCAATGTCTATTTAGAGTTGTAAAGTATTTTCTTGGATTTATTCCATCTTGTTGATATGGCTGTGTCATAGAGCAATCCTTTGCCAATTTAGCTATACCCATCTCAAAAAGTAATACATTACTCTAGGAACTAAATGTTTCGTCATCACCACTTAAAATCCAAACAAGCCATCAAAAACCTTATTCCAAGTGACCTTGAATCGGTATTACCTTGACAGCTGTACAACAATTTATTATTTGTAATGATTACCCTCAACCAATGCCGATATTAATACAATTGTAATCGTATTGGGCTTGATTGAATACGTTCTGTGATATTTTCTTTGGAGGGGATTTGTTGGGCCTTATTATGTATTTGGAATGTACGAGATTTTTTTTTCATTTAATACTTAGATTAATTTATTGTTATTGGTATTGGATATGGCAAAAACTTACTGAGCTTGACTATGATGTTTCAGACCATATGGTTACTAGAGATCATCAGCTCTATTGAGATGATGACAAAGGATTTGAATTTTATTTAAAAATAAAGACAAATTCGAAGATCATCTCATTACCTATATATCAGCTTATAACAACCAATAACAACAACGTTTCTTAGTTTTAATTATAAGTGTTTGAACTCAGTATCGAAGACATAAAGAAAGTTGTCGAGAATAATTTTAATTTTACGCACTGTTGCAATCGGTTAAAATAATATTTTTAAGATTTCTGAATATGTTTAATGATCGTAATGACTTCTATCAATGTGCTTATAGTTGTTAGGTTCAAATAGTGGGCCACTAACTACCCCTCCTTCATCGTTTCTTCACTGCTGAAGATCGCGTACACATGTGACTTTCCTCCACAGCGTTCGGGCATGGTTGGCATGGACCGCATAGTATAGACTACCACCACTTTCTTAACCAGATCGGACTGTCTAGCTGGTGTTCCGCCTACGACGCGCTTGCCTTTTATGCGACCCAAAATTATGAGTTTCTCATGTCTGGGAGACCGCATGATGTATCCGAAGGAGCTCATAACACGCTCGGTAGATGGTAGAGAGCCTTTTTGGATGTTTACTACTACATAGACATCCCAAAAAGGACTCAACTACTAGATCAGCCAAAATAGCAGTGTCCAAATTTCTGTCTTCCAAACTAATTGATGGGTAATCACTACATATTATAAAACAAAGTCGCCTTCTCTGTCGCTATATCTGTTTGTCCCTATGTATGCTTAAATCTTTAAAACTACGCAACGGATTTTGATGCGGTTTTTTTTAATAGATAGAATGATCGAAGAAGAAGGTTCATATGTATAATAACATCCATTAAATAGTGGAGAAATCAATAATAAATTACAGTTTCCAAAGCGAAGCGAGGGCGGGTCGCTAGTATTTAATATATTGATTGATATAAGGAATATTTCGCTAGTTTGCACAAAATTTACGTCGAATTCCTCGAATTCATTGTCATAACAAAAATTGAAAAAAATATTTCCTTTTCCATCATGGGAAACACATCACGAATATTTTCAATGTGCGTATCGCAACTGGATCCACGTTCAATTTGCCCAATAGAAACCTGTTAGCGTACATCACAAAGACTGCCACTGGAACGGATCGCGGGGGCGTCAATCAATCATTTACCTGGAATCGTTCGTTGTCGATATTCCATGAAACTGTGAAAAAATTGGTTCAAGTCTGCTACTGAAACGAGACATTTCAATTTCCTCTTGTTAAAGTTAAATGGAAAATTTGAATAAGTTTTTTATAAAAATCGAGTAACGAAATCTTGATTAACTTATGACTGTAATATATTAAAGATATATTAGTAAAAAATGCAACAAAATTCAGGAAAAAACAGAAAGAAGAGAACTTATAAGAAGTAGATATTTATCTTAGAATCTGAATTAACAAAAGTATCCCATATTTATTTAAAGGATTATTGTTGAAAGTTAAAGTCACCCTATTGATCGGTGAAGATAAAGTTGGAAAAAGAAAGCAAAAAAGGGATGGATGTAGTTAAATAAGATATGAGCCAGACGGGAATAAACATCGTTCAAAAATTTGTAGGCACTCAGAATAGGGCTTCGTATAGAATTTAAATATGTTATTGCTCAAGTTCAAATGTATGCAATTTAATAGTGCTTATATTGTAAGTTAGGGGCTCATACAAGTTATGAGGCATTTTGTAAGTGTGCTCACGCCCTGAAGCGATCATTATGCTGGAAATAAATCTAACAAATTGACATAGTCGGAGTCAATGGCCGGCATTCAGACACGTGTGAAAGAAGCTCAGTTTTTTGGTACGATTTCAAATCATTTGCGATATTTCCATCTCCGAAATATTATGTATTATTATCACGTTTATTTGTCGTGAATTTTTTTTATTACCTATTTCTTAAATGGTGAAATTAAATTACCAACTGAATATTTAAAAAACATTACCTAAATTGTTTTATTATTAAAGATTATTTTTCACAGGCTCTAAGGTTAGTTGTTGTTTTACTTTGTATATCAATGTGTAAAATAGCATAATGCACATTCATCTTTACTGTTCTACATGCGTGGTTCACTTGCAATAGGGTTAGCGGGTGGTTAGCGGTACTTATCGTTATTCGCAATAGAGAATTTTCTCAATTTTTTGGAGATTTTCGTTACCTTTTACGTGATTCTCGAACAAATTAGGGAAATATATTCTAGTAGGTACTCAGTACAAGCTACTACAGAGAGAAAATATGTACATAGACACCGTAGATTTTTTGTTTATTGCTATTTCATGAAGCTTCATCGCAGTTTTCTAAATTGTGATCTTTAAGAAGATTAAGGACACGTTGTCCGTACTTATGGCATTACCGGTGTATATATACTAATAACAGCTATTAGCAGATTGTTTATGATAATATATTGTTATACAACGGTATTGCTAGACCAAAAAAACAACTGCCAACCCTGTGACAATACAAAGCGTAGTTTCATTCATTATTCGCATTTTTAGGGTTTTTCGGCGAATACCATTGCATTTTGATGGTCGAATGTTTATTTTGAATTCGTCGGAGAATAATGGCCTCCACCGTTGCATCGACAGCTTTTTCACTGCGAAACTGAACTGCGAATGTGACGTAATTTTGTTACGTTCACGCTAATAGTGGACATAAAACGTGAAACGGGTTTTTGTACATTTTTCTGCTTTGTTTCCTGTGAACATTTGTTTTTTTCTTTTAGACACGAGTCACAATTGAATTGGAATAACGTATATCTGGCTTCTCGTACTACTATGAATATTTTCTTTCCCAAAAAAGATACTCACTATACTACAATCCCAATAAGGATATTAACATTTTATACACATACACAGTTTGTCGGAATTTTAAAGATCAGAGCTTAATACATAATGTTTCAGTGACAGTATTAGATTTATGTTGAATTACACTACATTTTTACTGTTGCACTGCCAGCTAATGCATTATTGGTAACTTTATTTCGTCTTAAGCTAATTTTTTTTTTATCAGTGGTACCTACCCGTCCGGACTCACAAGAGGTCCTACCACCAGTAATTACGCAAATTAAAATTTTGCGGGTTTGATTTTTATTACACGATGTTATTCCTTCACCGTGGAAGTCAATCGTGAACATTTGTTAAGTACGTATTTCATTAGAAAAATTGGTACCCGCCTGCGGGATTCGAACATCGGTACATCGCTAGATACGAATGCACGTTACCGGACGTCTTATCCTTTAGGCCACGACAACTTCACAAACCATGACGACTAAATACTACACTTATTTGATTTTGAGTAATTCAATCAAGAAAGCAGAAGCAGTGTCCATATTTCATTTATGTGGTGACGATAATACGTCTAAAAGATAGTTTTTAGCAGCACGGATAGCCTTGGAGACGGAGCTTCCTAGATTAACATGAACCACAATTAAGTGAATTTATTATAATTCCAAAAATTTCGTGCAATATTCTGTACTGAAACAAGAAACGCTTGAATATAATGCTTCAGACCGTTTCAATTCCCCAACGAACACCATTCCTATATATCTAGAGAGACAGCTTAAAGGTAAATGGGTATTCATATATTCACTGTGGGGTGGTAAAATTTTTACGAGGCTTGTGGCACACGTCAGTCTTCTGACTTTCAAGAGACGTCAATTACTTCCCAGGGATGATTATTATATGATACATGTCCAATATAAAACTAGTATTTTATGTTTTAGGTCTAAAGTAATTGAATGTGATAGTCTAAAAATGGTAGGAAGTGCAGAGTAGGTTAATAGCTGTGATTTTGGTTTTTTTTTTTACAAGTTAACGTGGCGTTAACTTGTCCCGTGATAAGTTCGTAAGGAACTTGTGTTACAGGTATATATGGTATGTCACTTACCACTACACCAGACTGCCGAAGAAGAAGTTGAATAAAAACAAACAGTGTCATACTAACGATTTTGAGGCTCAATTTAAGATTTCTTGTTTTTTATTTAGTGTGTATGTAATTAAGTACTGTACGTACATAATTTTTTATTAGTTAAAAAAATTAGTTTTTGCCATCCCTGATGAACTTTGCGGGATGTCATTAAAATGGATTGGTGAAAAATAGTGA